ACACAACATGTCGTCAGATGAATGATTTTTACTATTCTTGTCATTCTTTCTATTCATAATACACACTATTCTCTATATAAAGAGTGAGCCAAAAATCTTCTTAGTACTTCGTAGAAAAATTTACTTTTTTCATTTATGACAAATTGAGAAATGCTCAAAGTTGGATAGATAGTCAATCAGCATTAGATTTGTATTATGCTAAATTTTCCTAACTATAATCTAAGTTATAACGAAGATATATAACATCGAGTTACGAGAAGAGTTTTTTTCGCATGATGTGATACAGTTTTTACTCATAAAAACTATATAGAGTAATTGATTTTCATCCTAAATAAAAATGCAAACAACTCAATGTTCTACGTTTCCATCCGCGAGCTTAGTCGGTTTTGTTGATTGACCAATGCTCCTTATTAATCAAACATTAAAATCTTCTCTTTTGATGACTACGTTCGTGTATAATTGATTCAAGTTAAAAGTTATTCTTCAAACGTTAATAATTATTTCAGTGATATTGATATTTAATTGTAAAATTGATGAAACTGGAGAAGAATATATATAATAATCAAACATCGAAAAAAAAATTGCCGAAGAAACTATCATAATGTCCAATGTTCAGAACATAGCGTAGAGCTAATCGAAGCTGTGGAGACTTAAATTATATGCCATAGATACCTAATTAAGCTGATGACATGATATTACTCCGAAGAAATTTCCACTAGTTCATTTGTTGAAGTTCGGCTTTTTACCTTTTCTCCTCTTCTAATTTTATCCAAGTTCTTGATGTTTTTTAAGTTTCGCGTATTGCAAAAAGAAACTTCTCTTAATTCGATGTTATATATCTTCGCTATAACTTGATTTATAGTTATGAAAATCTAGGATAATACTCATCCAGTATTGATTGAATATCTTTCCAATTTTGAGCATTTCTCAATTTTTCATAAAAGAGAAAAGTGAATTTTACTAGGAAGTACCAAGACTTTTGGCTCACCCTTTATAACTATATGCGCATATATGTAGAAAGAATCGAAATATTTTGCATCATTCGATAAATTTCAATTATCGTTGACTTTCTTTGTTAGAAAAAAAAAATTCTTTTAAATGATAGTTTCTTTCGTATATGATTCTCTTTTCTTGATCTTCGACTAACAAGAAATTGAAAATATCAATCATCTTACATTTAAAGTGTATCATGAGATTTATTATAAGAATATTATTATAAAATATTGCGTCGAATGTTAAACATGATTGAGTATTTATAGAAGATAATATCAATAGGACTGATTCATTTTTTTGTTTGATTGAAACATAATAATATATATATGAAAAAAAAGAATCAAATAATGCGAATGAATGAAAATAGAACAAATAATTATTATTCATAAGAATAAATTTTTCAAGATACTTTGATGAATGTTGAAGAAACGCATGTCATGAATAATATTTCTGACTTTTACTGAAAAAATTTTTAATAAGAAATTAATAAAATAATACATTTACAACAAAAAAACAGTAAACAGAAGCAAAACAAAAAAAAGATGTATATTAACATGTGTCAATTTCAAACATGCTATGTAGAACGTATTTAAAAAAAATTAAAATAGACCGAGCTTTGGATCTCTATAACGTTGGTACGGAAAATTTTTCTCTATAAAATTATATTTTCAATGTTTTTCAAAATAATGTTTATAACGAGAAATAATCGATAGAAACTGATCTATGAAAACACAATAACGCTTATGATTTGATTATGAATCGATGATTCAACCCTTTTTTTTATTGTAGACTACTTATATTATATTCAATATTGTTTGAATAAAAAACTAAATTATCTTTGTCCTAACTCAATTGATGCTTTTGTTTTATTTTCATTTGTCGATATTTATTACCATGCGAATTATAATAAACAGTACTCGATGTAAGAAGAAAGCAAAAGGATAAAAAAGAGAACCTTCACACACCTGCAATGCATTCATATATTTGATAATAGTTGTTAAACAAATGGGTCTATTATCCGAAGATAATTCTTTATCATAGACTGAAATCAAACTTGCTATTCAATAAATACGAACCTATCCGTCTTGATCAACTTGTATGTGTCTTTAACAAATATAAAGATCGACAGAACGATGTATTTCTATGGGGAGATGAGGTAATACATTTTTCAAGTATTTAGTTATTTCATTCGTATATTTTTTACTTTGTTAAGGTTTAGTTAACATTAGTTAAATTTGATCATAAAAATAAAAATGTTCGATTATTATTACAAATTTTAAGCGAATGAAACAAAAGAATTGATGATAAGTATATATTTTATATAAATATATCTATCATAATAATATATTGAAATATTCATAGAGCATGTCGTATAACTTGGCATTCTGATAAATGTGATTTTGTTATTGAAGGCATTCCATTCCAATCTTATGGCTTTTCATCATCTTATTTAAATACAGTCGAAGCAAATATGAGACTAAGAAGATAACAAGTACAACGAATTTTATTTGAACAAACCGATTGTCAATATATTTTAAATATTTCTGCTTTTCCACGGTAATAATTAAATATTTTTATTCTTGTTTTTTTATTGATCTTTTCATTTTCTTATAATGAGTAATTAAAAATATTTTCATTTATTTGAAGGAACCTGCAAATATTTCGAAAATACGAAAATACGAAATTAAAATTCGAATTTCGTTTTCTTTTCGCATATGAATTCAAAATTTTTGTAAGAAATTAAAGGCTAAATTATTTTCTACAAAATGACTTTAAACAAACTAATCATAAATATACTTTTTTTTGTATTAAGAAATATATGCTGCATTTCAAATGATTTTTTTCTTCTACTTTGAGAAGTTTTTGTCGAGCTAAAATTTATCGAAGCTTCGTTGATGAACCTTTAAAAGGATAGATCATACATTTGAAACTAGAAGTTCTACAAAAATCTTAAACTCACATACAAACGAAATATAAAATTCTTATTGTACTCCAATGTTTTTATATTTTTTCTATCTTTTTATAACGATTAAAAATAAATGAACATATTTTCTATTTTTTTTTTGTTAATCATGCATTGTACAAGATATGAACAAGGACAAAATACACATATTCACCAATTAAATATGATCTTTCATATTCCGTTGAAAAATCTTTATGTTATCCCGATACACTTATATCATCTCATCATCTAAGAATGAACTAAAATCAAATATTCTTGTTTCTTTTATGAAAATTTGTTGTATTGAAAGATTTTTATCAACAAATATGAGTGAACGGCGTCAATCTAAAGTATCAATTAATATTCTAAGGAAGTTTTGTTTAAATAATTTATTAGCTAAACTAAATACAAATACAAATTATAAAATATATCATTTTGTTAGATGATAATCAAATAAAAGCAAAATCTTCAGTAAATTATTGATGAATATTCTATTCATATGTAACTCATTGATGTATCTTGAAATAATCGTCATTTTAATAATTAGACATGAATAAATATTTATTTCAAAAATAAAACATTTTCATTCTAATTGAAAATAATTACATAAAATCAAACAAACATATGGATAACCCTCGAATTTTATTCTCTTTTAATACACATTCTAAGAGTTATTTTTATCTATCATGTAATTAATAATAAAAATGACTCATCATTTATTCCAACCAAAAAGAAAAATGAATTTTCTAAAATCTCTATAGAATTTATCTTAATGACACATAGTCTTTAGTGTGCTATAATGCATAATGGATACTGATTTTTTTTAAATCTATGTATAACTTAACTAATATATACTTAAGCTATTTAGGCAAAATCATAGTAAAAAAACATTAAATTTTTCAAAGATGTAAAGAATAATACATATTCGTTATGGATATCAACTATTTGACGTGTGCTATATTAGACTTTATTTCTTCAGAGAAAAAAAACAACATTATGCTTAAATAATTAAGAAACTATTAACTATTGGTTTTTATGGCAACGAAACATTATTCCTTTAAAAGAAAGTCAATTTCTTTTAAAGGAATAATTCATAATTTTGAATTAACTCAATGTCAAATTTTAAAATTATTTTCACGTACTTAAAAAATTCGAATAGAAAAAGAATCTTGATCATTCATTTATTAAAAATCTCATCATAGGTATAGTTTAAATAATAAACGTTAAGTATTTTTGACCTAGTTTAGTTCCGAGAAACATCACTAATGGATTTTATTTCTAAATAATATGCCGATAGATCTATGATAAAGATTTATTGATCTTGCAACAAGATGAAATCTATAGAAAACAATTAGATTTAATGACTCTCCTCTTTCATAATCGAAGAATAAAGGCAAACGATTAAAATAGTATAGGTTACAGTTAAACTTAGAAAAAAGAATAGTATTTATTTATTTATTTACACGTAACAATCAATAAAGACTAGATTTAAACTCTTCGTTGCACCACTAGATAAGAAAATGACTTAGACAATTGAACGCATTCATTTGCTAACTTTTCGAAGGAAGTATTATGAAAATATTGACCCTATGAAAACTGTTCCTTATTTTAATTGAGAATAAACTTTCAATATTTTTTTCTGATAAAACATTCTTGAATAATACCAAGAGAAAGATTCAAAGATTTTTCATAATCGTTTGAAAAAATCTCTTTTGTTCATAATCTATTTAGTTTTTATCAAATATATATTTAATTTGTTTTTTTAGTATTCAAAAATTCATGTACACCGGGTGTGGGTGCGTGGGTGGGTGTGGGTGTGGGTGTGGGTGGGTGGGTGTGGGTGTGGGTGTGGTTATGAATACAAAGAACATTCAAATCCACACCCACCCTGATAGTGTTGAGTTGATAACTTCAATCTAAATCAACCAATTCATGACAGAGTGATCCTTGCGATCAGGATTCATTGAGACCAGTCTTTATCTAAAATATCAGCCCTATATCATAAGAAATAATACTAGTTCAAGGGGGGCGGTTATTTTTGTCCAGGACAGTATGTAAGTTTTATTTAAACTGGTGTGGTTCGTAAACATTTTTTTCCAAAATGTTCTGATGTTTTCACTCCACATCCACATAAAAAACAAAATTGTTTCATACATGCACTGCATATTATCCAATTATCTTGAGTAATCTTTACATTGATTTTTTTACACGATTTATTGGGACATTTTGCCACTCGGTTAAGTATAGCCGAGCCAATAACCGATTTATTATCAATTGAAATTTTCAAATCTTCGTCGTTTTCTTCTTGTTCTCGTTCGTGAGCTTGATCAGAAGGTATCTCTTCATTTTGTTCTGCTTTTTCGTGTACAGAAGTTTCAACTAAAAGGAAAAAAATGTAAATAAATAATTATCATCTGACAAATTAAACAGAAGAGAACAATAGATAAGATATATTGGTTATCATCAAATCCGTTGTTTTTTTTTACATGATAGCCAAATCTTAAGAATGATACTAATGTTATTCCAAGATATAGATTTACAACAGTTTCTTATCAATTTTTGAAAATGAAGAGACTAATCTTATGCTACTCTCGTAATCATGTGCAGATATGAATTGAAACAGATATAAACTGTTATAAAACTAACAAGTTGAATAGTATGGGAATTCCTTTCAAACTTGGTAAGAACACTTAAAACGATAATATCTGAGAGTTGCAATAGAATATTATATAATACTCTAAAAGATTTCATCATATTAAACACTTTGTTGTAGTGCAAAACGTTTTTATTCAACAACAGTTCATTTGTTACTAACCTAAATATGCTGCTTTGTTGAATTCTTCTTTTATAGATTCAACTTCTGTAAAATCTTCATTTTCTAAATATGGAGTAATAATTGTTGTTATTGGTTCTTGTGTTATTTGCCAAGTAAAATCGAAATTACATCGTGTACAATGCATGTGTGAACAACCACCATTTTTTTCGATTGCTATATGACATTGAGGGCAATATTGAATACCTTGTGAATTAATTCGTTCAGCAGTTAATATTTCTTGTAATAGGCTATTTTGTTCAGATAGTTTAATAATAATTTTACGATATCTTTGCGTAGCAATATTTTGTTCTTGCAAGGATTTTTTATGTGCTTTAGTTTTAGTGAATTGCGCTAATGCAGCTTCTTTTTCTCGTTGAAGTCGTTCAAGTTCTTTTTGTTTTTGTAATTTCATTTGTTCAATTAAATAATCTTTAGGACACATTGCTTGAGAATGAAATGTTTCATAACATTTTTTACAAAATGTATAACGACATCGATCACATATAGCTAAATTATCATCATCAGGACCACTAATAACAGGTGATTGACATCTAAATAATATTTTCTTTTAGAATATTGCTTATCATATTCTCTTAAAATTTCAACTTCATTTTAATTATAAGGTATTATATAGTATGAATAGTTTTGCTTCAAATATAATTTGGATCTGATATCATTCTATATTATGAGATATGGGTTTCGTATTGGCAATCTGTAACAATACTCTTTGTTTGCTTAATGTTACTCATTGTCACTATATAATTGTGTTAAATTCTCAGAACGATATATGAATAGGTTAGTTAAGAGATTGTAAAGCTTTTTGACTTTGGTAATTGAAGTCAAAATTCTATCAGGTTCAAATTTGTTAGGACTGGATCCAAAATTAATAATAATTATGAATTTAATTTTCATGAATCTTTAAAAACGTGAAAACTTCTTTCAGTGTCAAACTCACCTTCTTCATGCAATCGTAACACTAGCAGATAGTTTCTCAGCCTTCAATTTAGAATCGCATTTTCCTAAAGAAGAAATACTTGAGAAACAGATCTTGATATAGTTTTCTATTTCGAAAACAATCACCAGAAAACTTCTGAAGTGTTTTATGCAAAATAATCTAATTGTAATCTTCATGTAGGCAATGATTTAGATCGAAATTCGAAAATATGATATTGCTGCAAATGTGGAGTCCTAATCATGACAAAAATTTACGAAAAATGTTCGATCTACTTAGAAACCAGCTGTAAACGCGAACTCTAATTATAATAGAGATGCACTGCATTAAGGTCTACAAAACAAGACAAATTTTGGCTGAAAAATAAATTAGAAAATGTATATGCACTCTCAAATAGCTGATTAAATCTGTTATAGACATTGTAACAATAAAAAGAACAATGTTTTGTAAAAAACCTTTGCAAAAAATCTGTATATGTCTACTAGTCAAATCAAAATAATTTATTGATTTTATCTAACCTTGGACACCAAACGATATCCTTCATTGATTCAAGTCCATGTTTTAATGTTAATCGTTCATATCTTTCATATAATTCTTCATTTTGAATAGTTTGTTTTATTTCTGTTGGAAGTAAAACTTGTTTACAATGATCCTGTGGACAATGAAGATTTTCTCCAAATTTTCCATTGTCAAATGTCATTCGAATATAATGATTTAAACAAGGACGACAATAAAAATGTCCACAACGATGAAGACGAATACAATCTAAACCTGGAATAATATCTGTACAAATGGAACATGTTTGAAGTTGATTTCGAAATAATTCTTCTTCACGTCTTTGATTATAATCAATTAAATTTTGAAAAATTTTTTCACCATTTTCAATATTATAACCATTTAATGCTCTTGGATCATTTTCTTGTTCTTCAAAATTTGTACGAATAATAAATTCATTAGTTATTTCTTGTTTTATTAATACAATCCAATCATAAACACAAACTTCTCCTGGAATAAATAAAAAATGATCAATTTTTCGACAAAGTTTTTCTAAATCAATTTTTGAAAAATAAAAACATGATAGAATAAATGATGGTGGATCATCACTTGGATATTCATCATGATAATTAATTATAAGAGATAATGGTGGTAAATGTTGAATAATAGATATTTTATCTTTCAATCGTATTGTAAATGATGTAGGTAAATCAAATTCAATTAATACTTCATATTGATTTTCATTGAGTAAATGAAATTTTTTATCAAAAATTGATTGTAATGCTAATATTTCATCAGCTTGATTTTCAGAATTTGTCATTTTTGTCAAATAAATACTATTCAAAGTTTATTGCAAGCATAAAAAAATGGCTTTGTAACTACATGTCAATTTTTCTCGTTTTTGTGCAATAACTATATGAAATAAAACTATATAATGAGTCATCAAACTAACAGAACAGAATAAACGCAAAAAAGTGTCACATTTTAAAATAAGAAATAAAACACAACAATATGTTATAGAGTGTGGGTGTGGGTGTTGGTATGAGTGTGAGGCTGTGTTAACACTGTATTTGTGCCACAACCATCCACACGCGCACTCCACACTCTAATTAAGGAAAACAAGTAATTTTGAATCATATCTAGACTGAAATTTATTTTCAAGTATCTATATTATTATAGATACAAAGAATCACTGTTGTGTATTGTAAAATATTATTTTATATTCATGTTTATTTCCTTTTTCTTTCAATCTCCTTACAAACACAATATATACTATTAAAAAATCAATAAGAATCAAGTAATAAAATCGATCTTATATTTCAATTGAAAAACAGCTCTTAGGTCAATGATTAGGTGGAAACGAATCTAATTGCCTTTGTAATCGTCGGAGATAAATATTCATATTAATTTGTTCGCTAAAGAGCATTTTTGTGAAGATTCAATTGAATGTATTTTTATTCCAAGAGTTACCAAGCATGCCAGGATAATGGTACATGGATTTTATAACAGTTTTGTCTACTAGTTCCTTGTATACTTGTGGAACTGAAACCGTTATATTGAACGAAATGATAATTGAATTTTTATCGAGCAATGAAACCATTCATCTCTCCTAAGTAGCAATTTGAATCTGAGCGACATTCATATCTATCACACTTGAAAATGCCACTACAAATCGATAAAATATGATTGTTTTTTATTAGTATCGTTCATTTGACATTTGAAAAGCCGCTGACAAATTGAATCATTGACGACTTCAACATAATTCATATTGGACACAAACAAAAAAGTTTATCTTGAAGCATTTGGCAAATATTGATCCATTCGTGTGTAACATTCTATCACTGATCGTATGATAATCGATTACATGATCACATTAATATTTCAGTTTGTTTGCAATATAAAGTGATAAATGCGGCTTCTTTCTTGGAAAAATTATAAATTAACTACTTTATATCTTCCAGTCAATTGAAAAACTTCAAAGATTTTGTAACAGGCAGCTGCGATGGAATTACAACAAAAAAAAACCAAATCAAAAAAATACAGAAAAAAATAAAACACATTAGAGAAAAATAGAATTGATGCATAAAAGATAGGCGACAACAAGAGGATTACATTAGTAACGGTAATTGTAAAAGGCTACAAAAAATATTCACAAAAGAAAACGAATTAACCATATGATGAGATTTAGGCTCCGGAATTGAAAATTTCGAAGACTGTTCTCTCTATTCAAGTTTATCGATAAAGCTAGGACAATAAGAAAGGTATGGGTACTTCTAAGATTGAAAAAATAGGGTGGACAAACAGAAATTCACATGTGTCTATTGGTAACACGTGATACAAGCGACCACGAGGATAGTACAAGACGAACAAAGCTGAATTTCCGTTTCTACACCAACATCTCAGCTTAAGTCAAGTGAATTGGATCTTAATGAGCAAACAACTATGAGATTTTCATTGTTCGACAACCTCGAACTTTTGTCTGATCCTATGATTAATAAATTATTCATCTCTTGAGGATAATGATTTTCAATCCATTCTTGTGCTCTTAATGCTATAGAAAACTGATGAGGATTATCCTCTATTATTTTAGCTCTATCGTGACGAAGTGCTTCAATAGTTTTGCATATTCCTTTTCTTTTTAATATTTGTTGAATAACCGTATAAGCAGAATCACTATTTGTATTGGAAATATTATATTCGCTCGTATCGTTTGACAGTAATTCAAAATATCCTACTTTAACATCTTCCTGATTATATCGGTCTCTTTTATTGTATAGTACTATGCTTGTACATTTAGTTTTATCTTCGTGTGTTGGTTCATAACTAGGATCATCAACTAATTTTAGTTCTAAGCCATGCTTTTCGGCTAATGTAAGTATGTCCGATATATTTGCTGGTAGATTCATTTTGACACCTGTAATATAATCACTTATTTTCTCATCGAATTTTTGACTATTTATTTCATCTCTTTGCTTAGTACAATGAATCATTTCACATTGGCTATATGCGATAGTATAATCTTTAGCATTTTGTCCAATTTGTTCTCTTATTGTATTATATGTTCTACTGTTTTCTTCTCGGTTTTGACTAGGTGAATTTTGTTTTTCGTCTACAACTAAATACCGTTCGACTGTTTCTGAAAAAATATTTGTTAAGTTTCCTGTAGCACAACTATTCAAAGGCAAGATAAGTTGTGATTCTGTAATTCTGAATATTTGTTCAGTAATTATATCTGATACTAATTTCATTATTTCATTTAAATTATCTATATTTGAAATATTCGAATATAAGAATTTGAAAACATTTACAATTTTCTCTTTCGAGACATTGAATTGATTCAAATGAGTACGAATAATTTCTTCGGAAAAATTTTGTTCGTTAAACTCTTCATTTTGATTGATTATATTTTGCTCTTGTAGAATATTTATGATATTTGTGATATCATTTCCATCGACTTCACAATAACGTTGTAAAATATGGCGCATGGTTAAAGTTTCTTGATCGATATTCGAAAGTTTTTTTAAAAGTTGATTATAAACCCTATCGACAATAAAAATAATTTCACGAAATTGTCTCAGATTACAAAGTATTATGTTACCAATATTTACAAAACTACGTGTTATCGACATACTAGATAAAATACGTTTGCATAATACATCAGCCAAGACGTCAAATTCATTACTCCATACGTTATCTTCAGGATTAATTATTTCAAATAGTATTTTATGAAGTTTTTCTTTAAAATATGTTTTTTTAGTAAATAAATCAAGTGTATACATTTTATTCACTATCGTTTTTAAAATAGATCCACAAAATTTCGTATAAACTTCCCTTTGTATGGATTCCGAAACTTTCGGCTTCCATTGATTCAATAAAAAATGCGAACTAACATCCATTGATTTACTTAAACATTCTCTTATAATATTTTTCTGAATTGTTACTGCGATATGCTTAACAGCTAGACTATTCAAATTTTTCCTGGCTACGTTCAATGTTTGGTATACGGACCTACCATTTGTTATTACTCTCGTGCCAGCTTGTTCAAGTACTTCTTCTCCTACACCCACGACTAAGTTTTGAGCTCCCTTAGCTGCATCTTTGAGTGGTGAGAGTCCTATTGAAGCTATTGAAATAATTAGACTTACTGCTTTTTGTTTGGCAAAATCGGACCAAGAAAATTGTCTCGTACTATATACTCTGTAAGCAATAAACAAATCTGCTCCTCCTTCAGTGACAAGACTCATTCCTAAAGTAGCTCCAAATCCACTAGCTATTAATAGTCCACCTACTGCCATTTGAACACTAGCTAGAGCACATATGATAGCTATACTTGTCCATGAAATAAATTTTTTTTCATTAATTTCAATCAAATATTCGATACCTCGTCCAGAAAATTCAGCTAATTCTACATTAGGTCGTAGTTGACTCATGAATAATTCACTCAAAGTTCTAAATTGCTGAACTTCTATGTTCTCTTGTTCTATTGGAGCTAATTCTATTATTTGTTTCACTTGATTACATGTCAGTTGTGAAAATACTAAACTAAATTCTAATTTATGTTTTCTTATCTGTTCAATAATAGTTTTTGCCGCGTTTTTTCTTAACATATCGATTTTTACATTTATAAGTTCATCTTTTAATCCAATCAAAAGACAACTATTTTTTATATTAATAAAAGTTATATTAAAATTCGCATTAGAACAAATATTAAGTACATTTTCTACAATACTTTTATTTATATCAATTAGTTTTATAGTCGCAAATGTATTTGAAATTTCTAAAATTTTTTTCTCAGCTGTAATCCTATTTACTACTTCAATAATACTTTGTTCTTTTACACGATTATACAACTGTATCTGCTCCGTTGTTAAGGAACGAATAACTTCTAATAATGTTTCTTTTGTGTTGGTGAGTTCAAGAGTAAGAGATCTAGATACTATCGTTCTTAACTTTTCTCTAACACTCTCTACTCCTAAATCAATGAATTCGACTGTTATATTTGAACGATATAGTACTTTTTCTAAGATTTTTGCTGTTTTATTAGCGGATATAAAACTCAAATTGAAACGTTCATTTTGATCTATTCGTTCTTCGATTCGTTTAATTGCGACAGTGGCCTTTAGATCAGCCATGTTCTCGAGTTTATTGTTATTCTCGGAAATAATTTCTAAATTAATTCGGTATAAATCGACAAAGCAAGCTTGTGGTAATAAATACCGATTGAAAAAAAAATTCTTCTCTTTCAATTGTGTTAGAGCTTCTTCTTTCGTCAAGTCTTTAACTTCAATATTAGGATTTAGATATTCTCTTAATTTCTCTGCCTTAACCTGTTGCATAGTTATATTTATATGTTCATAATCATGTTCCAAAATTCCACTTTTCTTTAAAAAATTTGGAACTTTATTGAAAAATGAAAATTCACCATTGATATCAAACAAACTACCTTCATCTTGAGGTAATATCTTATCGATAATTTCTATTGCTTGATCTTTGATTTTACTATCTTGTCTAACAGTTAAATCATTAAATGTTACTTCGTATTGATTATGATCTGTTGACTCTTGAAGAAATACTAGAAATTCTTCTCGAATATGACCATTTTTTGATGTAAGTTTCTCATAAATTAAAGTATAAATTTTCATATGAATATCTCGATCAAGAATTGTTTCATCATACGATAAAGCTGCAAGTACATTAGCCAATGTAGAATCTTCCACTATCCATTCCCTTAATCGACATTGAATTTTGTCTTTATAAACAACTGTAAATGTATTATGTATTCCTTTCATAACTATAATTTCTTTACCATTTTGAATTGAT